TGTGAGCATATCCCAGACAAAAAGATGGAGAAGTCAAACAGTATTAATTAACAGCTCTTTTCCCTCCAACTAAAGCACCACAGGCAAACAAATAACGATAAAATGAACAGGCCTTACAAGTAAGTAGTTTAAACTAGTCAAGGAGCAAAGCAAGACTAGGTTAAAAACAGAGGAGGATAACAACCGTTTTACTTTCTTTCTCGCAAATGAACAGAACATGATACAGAGCAAAAAACTCCCAGTCTAAGACAGTTGTACTCAGTTCCTTGCATCATGAGCCCCCACTTTATGAAAGCTTTAACCTATATATCTATACACCTACATTCATCCATTCCTGTAAAAGTCTTCCCAGGGCTTCCCAATCTGGGTGATATCGCCTACTAGTGGAACATTTGCTCATCTCGCGGGCAGTGGGGACCACACATCACCTGGGTACATGTAGTGATAGCTGTTATTTTACATTCTGCTTGTAAATACGTGTAGGAGGGGGATACTTAAATGTTAGCCTCTTCTACTTTTTCTTCTCACTCATCCTTAAATGGACATCCCAGTCTTTTGTGAGAAAGCTGCTGTTTGCCCCCAGGCCTCCTCCAGGCCCCCCTAGTTTCGGGTCTCTCTGCTTGGGCCTGGGCCAATATTTCTTTCGTGTTTGCCTCAGAAAAGTTGTCAAACTTGACGCTGTCTACAATAAGGTTGACAAGCACTGACTTTAAAACTTCAGTTTTTAAAGAAGCAGTAAAGAAAATAATCTGCCAAGAAGAGAGAATTGAAAAAAAGAGAGAATGTTTCGTCGCCACAGGGGTAGAGCAGCAACAGAGGTCAGTCAACAAACATATAAGGCTAGAGGTACACAGACGCGGGAACGTTTCACACCGCATGGGAACATTCTCTCATTGGACATTGCAGAAGCCATAGGACGAAAAGATACGCCTCTTAAAAAATGTCTTGAGCATCAAAACCAACAAAAACAAGAAAACAAAATAATATCAACTGAATCAAATCAGAAGCAGGCAGTAGAGTCCTTATTCGACAAAACTTTCGCTTTAATTTGACAAATAAGTCAAAATAATATAAGTAGAATGGTTTGGGGTGTTGAAAATCACAAACAATCTCAAAGAAAATCACAAACAATCTCAAAATAATTTTTAAAATGTTCATAAATGACCAGAACATTTGGTGCAGACTCAGTCTATCACAACTCAGTTTTCCGAGTACAATATTGGGCGTGGGACGTAAATCTTTGCTTCATCGTCAGTGCGGTGGGCCAATCAGGGTAACGATTGTGGTCCCTTACAGCCATCTCCCAGCCTCAATTCATTTATTTACAGAGTGTATCCTCCTCTAAAACACCAATCTTGCAGGAACCTAACATTTTTTTTAGACCTATGGCATTACAATTAGAAGTACCGTATCAAATGAAATAATTTGAATGTGTTTGCAATTACTTTATTATAACTACAGTCGAAACTCCTCCAATGGCCACCTGTACAAAACAATCACCTGTACAAACGACCACCTGTACAAGACAATCACCTGTACAAACGACCACCAGTACAAACGACCACCTGTACAAGACAATCACCTGTACAAACGACCACCAGTACAAACGAGCACCTGTACAAGACAACCACCTGTACAAACGACCACCTGTACAAGACAATCACCTGTACAAACGACCAC